AAAAAATATCCCAAAGCCATGCTACTGCGTCTTTGGAATTGATCCTCTGAACACACGTCCCATTTCCCAGCATATCTTTTTAGAATTGCCCGCGTCACAGACCACGTGTGCCTTCATGACCTTCGCCCCCCACATAAAGCTGAAGATAGAAGATGGTGCATTTGGTGCTGAAATCCTCAAAGTAGCCCCACTTTGTGTCTCTGCTTCCACCCTGCACCCCACCCAAGAAAACATCCTCTTTGTGGTTTTCCTAGAATCAACGCTTGCTTTGAGAAAGAAGTCCCTGAATGTAGCCTTTTGACATGAACACCTCAAGCAACCTTCTGGGGGCAAATTACTAACCTAGGAATAAATCCAAATTTGGCAGCAGCCAAAGAATTTTCCTTTAGTGTCCCCACCTCTGCAGCTTCATTGTCCCCCCAAATTCTCCCTGGAGAACCATCCTTATTCTGCATCATGGTTTCAACCATCTTCGGGTTGCAGGTATAAGCCCTTGCTGGTATATTGGCAAGAAGGACAAGTACCTGCCATGGAGGGTAAGGGCCTTCTTTCCCTTTCCATCTTGATACTTCCCCATATCCACAAAATGCATCCTTATCTTCCTGATCTCTAATTTAAAAGACATGCATCCTGGCCCATTTAAGTTCCTCTCGTATTATTTCTAATGAGATGAGGCACGTCCTTCTGTGTGGATGCCTTCTCTTCCTTTGGCCCAAAACTCCTCAGTAGTTGTGCACTGGCTGGGGAAGAGCTACCCAAAAGCAGCTCACCTGGTTCCTTTACAGGTGTTGAAGACAGATTTATTTTCTAGGCATTTTACAGGCTGATTTTATCTGGTTAACCTTAGGAGCTCTTTGTTTGAGGAACACATCTTCAGAAACACCCAATTTTGCAATGAGCGTTCCCAGCAGAGACCAGTACATGGAGTCTGAGGCTCTGCTCACTGCTTATACCAGCAGAGCAGACTGCATTATGCAAATGTCCTTTGGGAGGAACCTTCATTAAGCAGACGCGACCTGTGGAAGAAACCGAATTTGACACACTTGGAGTCTCCGGGTGGTTCCAGAGGTTTGGAGTCTCCTGAAGTCAGATCTGGTCATGGCACTGAGGCTTCCGATTGGATTCCTGATGATCTTCCCTTCATGTAAGAAAAGTAACAGCACAGATTATAACGCTTCAGTGGCTGCCTCTGCATTTTTCCATCTTCATGTTTTTGTGGCCTATTTTCTATGACTGCAGGTGTTTCTTCCCAGACAAAGATATTTGTGCATTTAAACAACATGCCTGGGAAAGTATCTTGACTCCGTACTGTTTTCTGACTAGAAGAAAAGGGGGGACAAGTATCTCGGGTTGCTTGCCTCTGTTCCTTCGGATGACTCAGTGGCTTGGGCTGTCACTCCTCTCAGCCTGTCTTCCTTGCCAGGGGTTTTGTGCCAGGGTTGCAACTAAGCTATGCCAGCTGGCCTGGATTCCTCAGCAGAGCAGAAAAGGACTTGGTTCTCAATGCAGCCCTCATTTTTACCACCCATACCTGTATTTTCTAAGTGCTGCTGTTACCGAATCATATTTAACCAGCTGAGGATCAAAGGTCTTTTCCATCCACTTCCCCCTCCATACAGTCAAAAAACACACACCGTTGGGGCCATGCTGCCCTTTTCATAGCCCACTTGTGCTACACAAGACTGAGAAGGTGTCTCCGCTCCTCTCTTGTATTATGCAAATGAGCTTCAGGAGCCGCCTTCATGAAGCAGAAATGACCTGTGTGGGAAATAGAATTCAACACACTTGGAGTTTCCAGGTTCTTCCAGGGAGTTTGGGTGGCTGTTGAAGTCAGATCGGGTCATGGCACCCAAGACCCTGACAAGTTTTCTGATGATCCTCCCTGCATGTAATAACAGTAGCCTCCTTGATTATGATAAACGCTACATGTTTCTCCCGTATAAGGACAGTCCGTCTGTTGATTCTGCTTTTTCTCATCTTTCTGTCTTTGTGTCCTCTTTCCATGCTTGCAGGTGTTTCTTCCCAGATTACCCTTGCAGAGTCTGGAGGTGCAGTGAGGAGGCCAGGAGAAACTGTTCAACTGACCTGTGCAGTGTCTGGGGTTTCCATCCCACACTCTGACATTCATTGGGTCCGTCGATGACCAGGAAAGGGCCTGGAGTGGGCTGCATATGTTTGGATCAATGGTGCTCCGTTCTACACTCGTGGTCTGGCAAACAGGCTCACCATCTCGAGGGACACCTCCAAAAACCAGGTGTTCCTGCAAGTGCGTGAGCTGAAGCCTGAGGGCTCCGCCGTGTATTACTGTGCAAGAGTCGCACAGTGAGGAACTGCTCCTACAAAGACGTACAAAAACATTTCTTCCTGCAAAAACCAGGCATGAGTCACTCACGGCTCTGTCATCAGCAGCTGGACAAGCTGTTGGATAACTCGCAAGCATGACATGCAGAAGCCTTTGGAGCATCTTGAATGAGCTGCGCTCATGTCACAATACATTTGCAGATGGAGGGATGATGGAGGAAATAAAGACACAAACACTCATGAGTGAGAAAGTGAGGGGCTCCGTATTGCTCATCCAGCTCAGGAATACAACCTGTCCATGTTCTGGATGTGCAACTCCAATGCCCGACCCTTCTGTAGGCAATTTTAATAGGCGAGGACTTTTTAATTGTAGAATGAATGCCCAATAAGTATGTTATGAGGGGAGCCAACTGAAGCTGGGGAGCTGGGGAAGGTCAGACTAAGTAGCCCAGGAGGACCCTTCTGACTCGCTCTGTTTTCTATGTTCCCCTGTTTATTCCTTTGTCTTCAGCCTTCATTAAGCAGAAGAGACCTGTGCAGGAAACCAAATTCAATGCCCTTCATGCACCCAGGTTCTTCCAGTGGGTTTGGGAAGCTCTAGCAGTTGGAGCAGGCCGTGGCACTGAAGCTCCTGATCAGTCTCCTGATGATCTTCCCTCTATGTAATGATATCAAAATTAATGATCATGACAACCAAATGTTCTGCCTGGATGAGGATGCTCCAGCAGTTGCTTCAGCTTTTTTTCTTCATGTGTGTTTATCTGCTTTTTCCATGACTGCAGTTGTTTCTTCCCAGATCACCCTCACAGAGTCTGAAGGCTGAGTGAAGAGGCCAGGAGAGACCCTTCAGCTGACCTGTGCTGTGTCTGGGGTTTCTCTCTCAAGCTACACCATGAGCTGGGCCCATCAAGCCTCAGGAAAGGATTTGAAGTGGGCAGCAGGTATTGGGTATGACGGTGCTCTCTTCTATAACACTGGTCTGAGAAACCGGCTCACCATCTCGAGGGGCACCTCCAAGGGCCAAGTGTTCCTGCAAGTGCGTGACCTGAAGCCTGAAGACTCCACCGTGTATTCCTGAGCAGGAGACACAGTTAGGAAATGCTCCTCTGAAGATGAACAAAGACAATTCTTGCTGCAAATACCAGGCACGAGTCACTCTCGGCTCCATCCTGTGCAACCGTACAGGCTGTTGGATAACTCGCAAACAATATATGTGCACGGGCTTGGAACATATTGAGTGCGATGCATGTTTGTCAGAATACATTTGGATGTTGGGGTAATAAAAACACAGACAGCAGAGTGGGCATGTTAGTGGCTTGTTCTTTCTTTCTGAACTCACGAGTATGACCTGTCCGTTCATCTGTGTTAGCAACTAAGATGGAAACGCTGGGACTCAGGACTGAGGTTCCTGGTGGTGGCACTTGTGGTCCGTGCATCTATCAAATGCAGTGGTTTAGCAGTTGCAACCACAAACGTAGGAGGAAGGAGATGGGAAGCAAACTGTGCCTCCGGAAGCAGGTGCCCATCTTCCCCTCTCAATGAGGAGAAAGCACGCAGAGGATGATTGAGGTCATTTTAATATATTCCACTCTTTAGGAATGGAGAAGCTTGCCTATTTCCCTGTCACGCCACTTCAGCCTGATATTATGCATACTAATATTCTGCTCCCCCTCCAATCATCAATTGAAAATAAAACCCAAAGCCATGGGAAAGCATATTTGGAATTGATCCTCAGGACGCAATTCCCTTTTCCAGTGTATCTTTTCAGAATTACCCAGGTCACGGACCATGCGTGGCTTTATGACCTTCAGCCTCACACATAAAGCTGAACATAACAGATGGTGCATTTTGTGGTGAAATCCATAAAGTTTTCCCACTTAGTGTCCCTGCTTCCACCCCCCCCCCCAACAAAACGACTTCTTTGTGGTTTTCCTATAATCAACGCTTGCTTTGAGAAAGAAGTCCCTGAATGTTGCCTTTTGACATGAACACCTCAAGCAACCTTCTGGGGGTAAATCACTACCCTAGGAATAAATCCAAATTTGGCAGCAGCCAAAGAATTTTTCTTTAGCTTTCTCACCTCTGCAGCTCCATTGTCCCCCCAAATCCTACCTGGAGAACCATTCTTGTTTGCATCATGGTTTCAACCATCTTCGGGTTGCAGGTATAAGCCCTTCCTGGAATCCTGGCCAGATGGACTAATACCTGCCATGAAGGGTAAGGGCCTTCCTTCCCTTTCCATCTTGATACTTCCCCATATCCACAAAACACATCCTTATCACCCTTAACTCTCATTTAAATGACATGCATCCTGGCCCATTTAAGTTCCTCACGTATTATTTCAAATGAAATTAGGCATATCCTTCTGAGTGGATGCTTTCTCTTCCTTTTGCTCAAAACTCCTCAGTAGTTGTGCACGAGCTTTGCAACAGCAACCCAAAAGCAGTTCACCTGGTTCCTTAGCAGGAGTTGAAGCGAGATTTATTTTCCAGGCATTTTACAAGTTGATTTTAAATGATTAACCTTAGGTGGTCTTTGTTTGAGGAACACGTCTTCAGTAACACCCAATTTTGCAATTAGCGTTCCCAGCAGAGAGCAATACGTGGAGTCTGAGGCTCTGCTCTCCTCTTATACCAGCAGACCAGACTGCATTATGCAAATGACCTTCGGGAGGAACCTTCATTAAGCAGACACGACCTGTGGAGGAACCCGAATTCGACACACTTGGAGTCTCCGGGTGGTTCCAGAGGTTTGGAGGCTCCCGAAGTCAGATCAGGTCATGGCACTGAGGCTCCTGATCAGTTTCCTGATGATCTTCCCTCCATGTAAGAAAAGTAACAGCAAAGATTATAATGCTTCAGTGGCTGCCACTGCATTTTCTCATCTTCATGTTTTCTTGTCCTTTTCCCATGATTGCAGGTGTTTCTTCCCAGATCACCCTCACGGAGTCTGGAGGTGGAGTGAAGAGGCCGGGAGAGACCGTTCAACTGACCTGTGCCGTGTCTGGGGTGTCTCTCTCAAACACTGGCATGGACTGGGTCCGTCAGCCCCCAGGAAAGGGACTGGAGTGGACTGGAGGTGTTGACTATGATGGCAATCTGTACTATAACAGTGGTCTGAAGAACCGGCTCACCATCTCGAGGGACACCTCCAAGGGCCAGGTGTTCCTGCAGGTCCGTGACCTGAAGCCTGAGGACTCCGCTGTGTATTACTGTGCAGGAGACACAGTGAGGAAATGCTGCTCTGGAGACGTACAAAAACATTCCTTCCCTCAAATACCAGGCATGAGTCACTCAGCACTTTGTTTTCGGCAGTTGAATGTGCTTTGAGATAACTCACAAACACAACATGTAAAATTGTTTGGACCATTTTCAAATAGATGTCTTCATTTCACAGTCCAGTTGCAGAGAAGGGGAAGATGGGGGAAATAAAGACACAAGCTCTGGAGAGTAGGACACTGTGGGCTCTTTACTGCTCACCCAACTCAGGAATTCAACCTATCCATCTTCCGCCCAGCAGGACCCTTCTAACTTGCTCTGTTGTAGATGCTCCTCTGTTTCTGAAATTTAGCAGTCTCTTTTTCTTCCAGAGTTCTGCACATATTCAGAGGACAGGCTTCAGGACAGGTGCTCTGTACTATAACAGTGGTCTGAAGAACCAGCTCACCATCTCGAGGGACACCTCCAAGGGCCAGGTGTTCCTGCAAGTGCGTGACCTGAAGCCTGAGGATTCCGCCATGTATTACCGTGCAAGAGACACAGTGAGAAAGTGCTGCTCTGAAGTCGTACAAAAACATTTCTGCCCTCAAATACCAGGCATGAGTCACTCAGCACTTTGTTTTTAGCAGCTGAATGTGCTGTTAGATAATGCACATACACAATATGTAAAATTGTTGGGACCATTTTCAAATACATGTCTTCAGCAGGACCTTCTAACTCACTCTGTTTTAGATGATCCTCTTTTTCTGAAATTTAGAAGTCTCTTTTTCTTCCAAATCCTCTTCTTTCTTCTGCACATGTTCAGAAGACAGGCTTCAACAAACCCTCATTAACGACCAAGCCCATGATACCAATCTGGGCTCATGCATGGACCCTGCTGCCATCGCATCCCAGCAGCGAGCAACCTGGTGGTGGCGCTCGTGCTCCTCTTCTTGCTCAAGTGGAATGACTTAGCAGTTGCAACCACAACTGGGAGCGGCAGGAAAGTGAAATCTGAC